AAAGTGCTTGAAAGTGAATGTGTAAAAAATAAGTGTCAAGAGGCCATAGTGTATTGTCTCTTTTAGCAAAACCTTAGCCAGCCAATGTGATGTCTGATATCAAGCAGGGACATGCAAACATTTCTGGAAAATTGTATAAATGCATATGAAAGTATACAACAGAGATCTTTCCCTTTATTCCTAAAACATGCAGTTGTAGTCTTTTAACCTTCATAGAATCTCCCCTCCTGGAAAGAGTCACTGATCACTTCTAAGCTGAAAGGACTCCTGCAGTGATATTCTGTTTACTCCCAGTGACAAGGTGATGATGACAATGATGGCTGGCAGAGTCCCTGAAACTTTACATGGACTATATGGACCATGGGGGAAACTTGAAATTCCCCACATTCACAATGTTTTATATCTATTTAAGGTGGTGGATGAGAAGGAATGTGGAAAAGCCCACTCTGAATATGCCTGGTCTCCTTTTTATCAGGTCTCTGAAACTTACACTATGTACTTGTGGGCCAATTTCATAATTTGTTCTTGTGGACCAGTCTGCATCATCAGAGGAAGAAAAGAATACTTTGATAAGAGTATGATTATGAAAAGTTAATTATATCCATATGCAATTAAAATAATTAATTCAACCCTTGCAATAAAAAATGCAGGAGAGTGACTCCAGAATTCATAAATAATATTTTGTTCTTTTGCATCAAACTTACACGCATGAATATCATAACAATTTTGTATTTGCTGCATGTCAGTTGAAAGTATGTTTTCATATTTCAGTTACCAGTGATATTTTCCAATATCTATTATGACTGCATGACAGATTTCTATACCTGCTTTGCATAGAAACTGAAAATCCCACTTCATGGTACAGTTCTACACTGCAAACATTTGATGCAGAGAAATAATGTAAAACATTTTAAGTCTAAACACTTAAAATGCTAAATGAAGAGTGGTGTCTATTACAACTAAGGACCAGTAACAGACTTACTTCTCTCAACCATGAACTACCCACAAATCTCATGTAAACTTAGGAATATCTGCAAAGCTGCACAAGCAGTACTTTGACTCCACAATTACTTGCTGTAATCATAAGTTTCCTTGAGATGCAAACTAATGCTTGCTGATAGGGCAAGAAGATGCCTGAAACCAATGGAGAAGTTTGTTTCTCCATGTAACAGTGATACCGGCTCAATTTAAAAACTGGTGGAATCTGGTGCAAAATGAAACAGCCAAGAGAAAGAAGTATGTAAAGGAAATTACTGTATAGAAAACATAAAATAAAAGCTACAAGATAATAGATGTATTAATTCATTGCACACCAACTAGAAGACATGGAAGGGTCATACCAAAGCATGGCTTATACAACAAATGTCATGTCTGTAGTTGATACAGTAGAATTAAACAAATAACATGTGATTATATAAATATGATTACATCAGAAATTGGTTGTTATTTGGATGGATGCAGAATCAGATATACCAGCACTTAAGAGAAACAATGATAACAGATGCAACATGCAAGCCTGTCAATGTAAACGATAAAGAAAGTGGATTTAAATGTTAACACTAGGAAAACAATGGCTAATTCACAGCTCAAACTGTTTTAGCATGTATATGTCAGGCAAGTCAACAAGGAACAATATCTAGAGAGTGACACACAAACCATGGAAGAGGGTATTAAAACACATTGACAGGAAAATGGAAGGTACCATAAGAGAGTATGGCAGACAAGATAACAAGAAAGAAGAACCAGATGGCAATACAGACAAAGCCAGAAGAAGGGAATTCAAAACATAGTGAGAGAAAAATGGAATGAGGCCAAGATGCAATTCAGAGACTGGGTAACTTCTAGTACACACTGAACTTACATCCCCATATAAGAAGCTTTATATACTGGTATGTAGTATCTAAATTTACAGAATATTAAATATACAAAGTTATTGTTTATAAAGCATGAAAAAGAAAATGGTGGACCCAGAAGAGAGAATAAAAAGGTATCGACCTGCTTTCTTTCTTATTTACACAATATCAATAAAATTACAATGTGCTTACCAGCATAAAGGCTATGGTTAGGGTGAGAAAGAATGAGGATTTCCATCTTCATTTTGCAGTATGTAAATTCAGAATAAATATGAAGCCTATTCCGTTAGTCTGGGCCCACCAATCTTCAAACTTGGGACTGAATATTCTATAAACTGCATCAGACATTATTTAAAACAGACATATGTCTGCCCATCACAGTGTTTTGATCTAAATAAGTTCTTCATATAAAGAACACATACAATCAAAATGCTTGCAGCTAAACTCAGTCACATGGTTTACAAATTTATGAGACTATAGGATTTGTATGACCTGTACATATAAACCAGTGGTTCTCAAAACTTTACTACTCCACAAGTCCCAAGCTGAAATATTACACCCTAAGAATTTATCAATTTTATGATCATACTTCTCCTTTCAAACACTCACTTGATATGGCCCATAACCATACAGCTACAGAAAAATAACATTTTTTCAAAACATACAAATACAGCGGCAACATTTACTTTTTTAATATTCGTAGGATCAATTTAGGCACACAAGAAATCTGCTGCTTTTAAAACTTACTTTCTTTTTTGGAAAACTATCAGTGATCTTGCATACCAACAGACTGAACCACTGGCATTAAAAAACTGAAAACTAAAGTAAACTTGCATCAATTTCACTACTTGAGCTTTGTTATAAGACAACACACAGATCAGAACTTGTAGCACTGAACTTTGTCTCATTATATATTAATAAAATAAATAAATAAACTGATGGACAATGCACAATGTTAACTCACTGAACACATATGCTATATAAATTGGAAGAGACTTTGTGATTGCAATGTTACACCTCACTCATAATCCTCTTGTTATATCGGAAGACTTGTAACACCAGCTTGCTCTCCCTTAAACACAGTGAATCAGTCCTTTCTTGTTGAACTGTTTACAATAGGCCATAGATCAGGCTGCTAGCAACTTACATGACATAAGAGTAACACTGAATAAAATAAGGATACAGTGGAAACAGCAATGTGACAGAGGATTTCCTTGAGTTGTTAGTCAAGAAATTTTGTTCTATGAAATCTGTGGTCACAAAAGCTCACAATCAGATCATATCCAGAGTCAGTTCACTATTTGTCCAAGATCCATTTCAAAAACCTCCCCATCCATGCCAAGGACTCCCATATTGTATCTTATTTGGTTCAAAAGAGCCAGAAATTTAAATGCATTTTGTGTCCCAATTTGTGTAACATGCCATGGAGAGCTCACCCTAACAACACTGGGTGCATATCATGCACAAATTATAAAGGTCTTCATTATAAACTTTTTATATTCATTTGTTACTTTGCCTATCTTATGTCCAAATAATCTTTTCAGCCATTTCTTCTCAAACAACCTCAATTTCTGTTCTTCCCAGGGTAATAGACCAGGTTTCACAACCATTACTTCAGGGTATATTACTTTTCCAGCTTTCTAAAAATTTAAAGATTAAATTATACAAAAATCTAATAATAAAATTATCATCTACAATTATAATGAACACTAATGAATATGGTATTATTGGGCTTCTGCACTTTATCCACTGTTTATATTATTCTATGGAGTACTAAATGATGGATAAAATCCAGAAATACAGTAATACTAATTGTAATATACTACTGTCAAAACTCTTTAGAAATGACAAATTAACATGTTCACTATCACACGTTACCATCAGGAAGATAAATTTATCATCAATAAGCACAACTTGCTCTTGCAGATGTGAAGAACAAGAGAGGAAATATGACTGTACAGAATTCCACCACACTCTGGAAATGTAATGCATCAATACTCTGATGGAACATACTGTATACAAATTATGAAGATATTACTAACAATATACAAAAAGTGAGTTGTATGGAACAAGTGGAGAACTCTATATAAATCTATATTTAACTTTGCAGACTTTGATACAAGAATGGGAAGACTCAAATACATTAAATAACAGAATGCACACATTACTTGAACAGTTACTCCACGTGCTTTTCTATGAAGAATATACCTCTAGTCTCTCTTATCTCAAACACAGTGCAAGCCAGGGGCAGGACAAGTACTGGTCTTCACAAATGTGTAGCATTTCTAATCATCTGCTTGTAGGTGATGTAAATTCTACTAGCCTTGCCAAGATCTGGTCTGACAGATGCCTAAATACAGAAGTAATATTTCATGTAATTCATTTAAGGGTTTCATGCCAGAAAGGCATATTAGCATATTTGCATAATCAGTGATATTTGGTCTAGGGGAAAAAGTGGGATGTATGTCACGCCAGAAGGGCGCAATGCTGATGCTGCTGTACATAGAAATACAGAGAGTTACATTTGGGCAGGCTAACTAACCTAACTTATTTATCTACATTACATTGGGTGTATTAACATTAATAATGCACATTTGTCAAGCCAAATACGCATAAGAATTTAGTCTCCAGTAAATCAGTCATTCTGTTCATATGCCTGTCTGGCATTATACCCTCTTTAAAGTTGAGATATGTCACTAATATGAAAAAATTGTTAAAGAACTAGGTTTAGCAGTGACACTGTTAACTCATTTGTTACCATGACAACTATTTAATCATCAACATTAAATATATTTCCATTCTTCTCCTACGTGATGTAAAGAAACAGGTAAAACACTATCATCTTCTGGTTACATTTTTAATTGCTAGGTTTTAAATTTCTTCTGCTTCAAAATAACTTAAAAAATTGAATTTTTTATTAAACAGCTCAAAGAGATATAAAAGTTTGATGCCAGATGTAATTTTTATTGGCACCTCATCATGATGTACTGTGTTGTTCAATGTCCTACAGTATAGCAATGACACAAAGCAATTTCTTTAAATTATTTTGTCATAAATAAAAGCAAAAATGTTAACCATATTCCAAACATACTATGGTATGATCGCTTGTAAACTGATGCCAAATTCCAATTTGGAAGTAGTTACTCAAAAAGAAAACCTAACTGAAGAAAATTACATCATTCAATAAACCAAAAAGAAAATAATAAGAATTTGTTCCATCAACACAAAGTTGTAGGTCAACCTTACAAAGGTATAAAAGTCATATTGTATGGGCATTAGAAGTACCTCTTACTCAAATGACATCCTGAAACTTCTCATGGTGCAGCTTGTAACCAGTTGCTGTCACTTTCTATTGCTTAGAAGACATTACATAAATATAAATGGGATTGTTTTGTAGTATTACACTACATACAAAACTGGAAAGAACATGAGAGAAGAATGAGTTTCAATAGAAACACCTTTAAAATTATAAAATATCAATGTGGTGGAAGGAAATGCTAAAATGGTTGGCAGTTGTATTTAGTAAAATCAAAATGTCTGAGAACTTTTTAAGCACCCACTAAATGACAATATACACATGCAAGTCAAACTTTTCCCAACAGATGCTGAATGACAAATTAGTTTTGTTTAATTTCTAAGCATACACCAAAATGTAGGGAAGGCGCAGGCAGAGATTTGATCTGTCATGCACACTCACTGAATGTACAGAGCGATCCGAGTCAGAAGAATCATCTGATTTGGCAAACTCTATTGATTTCAGAACTTGGTGCATCAGGATGTCACAATGTGAAGAGCGAGTGAACACTAAATTTTGTGTAAGACTGAGTAAGGCTATGCCATAGCACAGGAGGTTAGTTGCTGGCTTTCCACTGTGGAGGGCCAGATCACTTCCTGGGCAATCCATGTTGGATTTGTGATGGACAAAATGGCACATTGACACATTTTTCTCAGAGTCCTTCAGTTTTTCCTTGTCAGTATCATTCCACTGATGCCCCATATTCACTCATGTATCATCTGGGAGGTGGGAAATGTGCCTGTTAGCAGATACAGTTCCACAGGAACAGTCTCATCCCATTGCAACAATAAAAAAGAAGTGGGTAACAAACCTCACAAACTTACAACATGGCCAGAGAAGCTTACAGGTACAATGCCACAGATCAGTCTGAAATGTACAGATGGTTTACATATTCAAGGAGGGCTGGTAATCACTAGAGAGCGACCTGCAGAAGGGAAGCAAAGTGGAAATGTGTAGTTCAGGTTAACGGTGGTAAGCGTGCTGACAATAGAAAGTCCCACATGATTACATCAATTAAAAAAGTAACTGATATTGAACAGTTATTACAAATAAAGTAAAATTGTAGGTGGTCCACCTCATATTAACAACACCAGTATTTTTGTGTAATTGCTTCTGGTGTTGAATTTTCTCAGGCAGTACTTTTCATTATACAAGTTAATTTAAGCACAATGAATTTTGTGGAGAGAGTGGTCCATAGAGCACATGGTTTCATTTATAAATTAAAAGTGAAGGAAATTCTGAATTCTTACACAGTCAATTAAACAAATTCAAACAGTGAAGAAAACAGCAAAACTTCACCCTGAGAAACACAAGCACAAAGTAAAATATGGCTTCCTTAGTGTTCACATGTCACAGTCATTTCTACTACCAAAAGGTGATGTGCTAGTGAAGCAAATAATCTTACAT